ACATTGTATACTCTAGAAGGTTGCTTGTAGTAGATGATCTCACATTGGTTGGCATACCCTGCCAGAAACCTGCCATATACTAGATTGTAAGTCTTGTTGAAGAACATGGTCTGTTTGTTTGCTTTTACTAGGTATAACGTGAGTTCGTGTAGTTTCATGTGATCGTGCTTCATGTAGTCATAGTGCTTCCACACATCAAACTGTGTGAAGACAGGGATTTCTTTAATTTTGTTAAAAGCATGTGTGAATGCCTTTCTAATATCAATTTCTACCGTGTGTTCTGGCATGTAAAACATCTTATCGTCTTTGTTTGTATGTGGGTTGTATTGGAAATAATGTCTGTTTATCTCACCAACTGGGTTTATCGTTCTACATTCCTTAAACAGTTCCATGTCAATCTCATTATAATATGACTTATGTAGTGGATTAAACAAGGACTTATTAAATACATACATTGCTTTAGACATGTTGTTGTAGATCTGCTCAGTTCTCACTGATATAGTTCCGTCAATGGAGTTGTTTACTAGGTTCTGGGTCTTAACTTTGTATTTGATGACATTCTTTTTTATCCTGAATTTAAAATTAAGTTCCGATACTATACCTGCACTGAATTTAACTTGCGGTTCGTATCCTGCCTTTTTGCTTTCATAAAAGAGCTCGGCAAGGTCATGACCATCATATATCAATGTATACTCAACATGTTCGTTATATTTCTTTATGTCGTTAAGTGACTGTATCATTTTACATTGAACGGGTTCGTCCTTCTCATTCAGGTGATAATCTGGTGAAGCCTTCACTGAAATCTCATACCCAGAGTTTCTTGGTAACATCTGCCTTAATACATTCAAATTATCGGTTACTGTATATATGTGGTTGTTCTTCACAATAGCATATAATGTTGGTATATGATGATCTCGTTTGGGCGGGTCATACTGAAAAATCAGTCTCTCAAAAGCATTGTATATTCTGACTTGGATCCTGTAGTGCTCAAACACTTTAACCATTTCCTTTATTGATGCTCCTGATGTTTTAAAATCCTCTTCTGACTTACCTATCAGGGTCAACATGCTCTGTCTGGTTAGTCTGTTCTTTTCTCTGCGCTTTTCACCCATAAGTGTGTCCTTATAGTAATCGGTTATGGTGTTCAACCAACACTGGTTTTCTTGATAATGGTTTACTTTGATTGCTTCCTTTAGTGTTTCGTATTCTGGGTTTAATGGAGTTTGTATGTATCTGTGGAACATGCTCACATGGGAGGTGTCAGTTAAATTCTCGTCCACTGGTATAAAATCAGTGTCACCATCTACTCTGTCTACATCCTTAACTTTGATGCACACTATGTAGGAATGGACGAAGCGAAGGGTTTCCTCCATATCTGGGTCAGACATTATTGTCTTCATCAGTTTCTTGAAAACATACCTGTCTTTGGTCTCGTATTGAAACACACGTCTGCCCGATAAGTCTTCTATATAGTCTGTTGTTTGTATAGTTGCTCTCTTAGTCTCATACCAGATCGGGATTAGAGGTCTCCCCTTGCTGTCTTTGAAGGATGCTTTGATGGTATCCTTGGGGAGTTTAAATTTGAAGAACATAAGGTCTACGGAATATGCATGTGTTGTTTTGGATTGTTCCGCTCGAACCCTCTTCTGTATTCGCTGAACTGCGGTCTTCTGTGTTAGTCGTCTGCGGATTTCTGTGAGTTTGTTGTCACGCTTTGCTGTTTGCATTCTTTCACCCAATGGTTTCTTTTCCTTGTGTTTTTCGTATACCTTGTTGTATTGGTCACTTGCCTTTTGCTTTTGTTGGTCTGTCTTGGCATTGATGAAGTTCCTTATTAGTTTGTCTGCTGTCGTGAACTGTGCTATTTTTCTGTCATCGTATAAACCGATAATATTTTTGATTTTAGTTTTGGTTGCTCTGTTAAGTCTGCCTTGATAAAATTCATACACTGTCTCTAATGCTTTTACACCTCGTTGGATGGTCTTACTCATGTCAATATAATTAGATTATAAAATAATTTTATATTTAAATGTTTTTCTGAAGATAAGTTTTTAAAACTAAATATTTTTTTGGAAAATTCTGTTCAGAAAATTCACTTAAAGAAATATTATAATATATAGTATAGTAATATGTCTATGAAAACCCCAGAGGATATGACCATGGAAGAAATAAGAGAACAGTTGGCAATTTACAACCGACTGTACTACTACAAACGAAGACAAGAGGAAGGATACATGCAGAAAAAACGCGACTCTGCCTTGAAGTGCATTCAAAAGAAGAAGTTAAAGCAATATCTAAAAGACAACAATATCAATACCACAATAGAAGATTTAACCGAAGAGCAACTGGCAGAATTCAACAGCAGTCAGAATAAGAAAGGACCGAAGTATGATATGAATAATGTTAAAGTTGTGATGCCCATGAAAGCAGAAGAATGCTGATTTAATTTTAGAAATAAGATTAAATCAATATTTTTGTATTGTAGATATATGAGTAAACAAGAGACTATTAGTAATGTGTATTACGATCGCGCGGGATATGGGAGCAGACAGAGGACCCTAAAGGAAGCACGGGAGAAGGATAAAAGTATAACTATTGACGATGTTAATGAGTTTTTCAAGAAGAACGTGGAAGCAAAAAGAAAACCTGTGGGACAGAACAGTTTTGTAGCACCACATTCGGCATACGAGTATCAAATGGACTTGTTTTTTATAAATGATCTGGAAGATCAAAAGTTTAAGGTTGGCATGATCATGATAGATGTCTTCGATAAGTTTATGCATGTGGTAGCAATAAAAGGTAAAAAAGAAGAGGATTTAGCAAGTGGTATGATTGAGTGTCTGCATAAAATGGGGGAAAAGCCGAAAATTTTATTTACCGACGATGAAGGTGCTTTATCTAAAGAAGCTATTCAAAAGTATTTAAAAGAACAGAAGATAGAGCACCACAGGACAAGGGCACATGCAAATTTCAGTGAGAGGGCGATCAGAACTTTTAAGGACATGCTATACAAAAGAGTTGAGGCTGACGAGAGGAAGGGGAAAAGTAACATTCAATGGACTGACTATGTTCACGAGATATTGCTGACATATAACAACCAGATGATACATTCCGCCACAAAATTCACGCCGAAAGAGGCACGGAAACCGAGTAACGAATTAAGCGTCAGGTTGAATATTGCGAGTAGTGGTAAACGGAATAGGATATATCCGGACCTTGACAAGGGTGACGAAGTCAAGATATTTAGGAAGCGAAAACCGAATGAGAAGGAAAGGGTAGGAAATTTCAGTAAAAATGTGTATACAATAGAAAGAATAGAAAAGAAATTAAGTCAAAGTCACTATTATGTGGAAGGTATGGACAGACCTTATTTGAGATTTGAATTACTAAAAGTTTAATATTCTTTAGAATTAAACATTCTTCAGAAAAGTATTTAAAGAAAAAAATATCTAATTATATCAGAGTAGAAATGTTCACCGAAGAAGAACAGGAAGAAATCATTAACGAGTCAGTAAATGTTATTCAAATGAAAACATATATAAATGAAAAAGTGAGTATGTGTCGCAAGTGTAAGTTTACAGAAGAAAATCTTAATTTGTATAACTTGCCAATACCCGAAAGTGCAATTAAAACAATATGCAAATTCAATTACAAAGAATGCGAGACATGCGCAACACTAAAAACATTAAAAAGTCACGTTTACGGATGTAGCATGAAGAAGTTTGAGAATACCATTGAAGCAATTGAAGATAAACATATATATATATATGAAATACAAGAGTATGGAGAAAGTGCAAAAGAACAAGGAAACACAAACATTTATTATTATGCGAATTTAAACCCATTCCCAACATACAAAAAAGTTGTAAATCATATACTAAATGGTGACACTGGCGATTACAATCAGAAAATCCATAATGAAATTAGGAACTGTTATAATTCATTCTGGAATGGTAGCGATGGTATAGAAACATATTATACCAAATTGCGGAATAAATCAATAACAGAATACGACACAACATTCAAGAAACGATCGGATACTAAACAACGGTTTTGTGAGTATATAAACTCCCGTACTGAACCAATGTCCAATATTATAAAGAAGATATATGACTACATTGAAAACAGACAAGAACAACAGTATTGAACATATAATGTATTCAAATAATGCATCATCAGTAGTAAAGCAAATAATGTCACGAATTGAATACAACGACGGATACACATGGGAAAAGTTTCTGGATGCACGCTTTCCGTATAAGCCGAAATAACAATGGCTGAAGACGCAAAAAAGCATTCCGAAACTCTCCGAAGATTACCTAAAAACTAATGACTTTGAGTGAATAACAAAAGTGTTACTATAATTGTTTTGTTATTTAATACTTGTTTAATACAAATAAAAGCCCCAAAAATCCCTACACCACATGTGTCAAACTTGATTTTTTTGCGGTGTTGCATTATTATCGTTTTTTGTTTGTGTTTGCTCAGTGTTTTGTATGAGTTTTTGCTATGTATCAGTATTTTTCATCTTTAATACAAATAAAGCCCCTAAAATCCCTACACCATATGTGTCAAACTTGATTTTTGTGTTGTTTTGCATTTTTTATTGGTATTCCTTATTGTTTTTGGTATCGCTGCAAAACATATAGAAAAAATCCAAGGCGCTGGCTGGTGTAGAGGTCGGTCAAGGTCTTCTCGGTGGCATCGTAGCGCTCGAGGATGCGAGCAGTTGCCAAGACTCCTCGCGCGGAAGGGAGTGGAAGAGGAGTGCGGTTTAGAGGTAGGGTTTGGGGGTTTGCTTCCGAATGCGCATCGCGCCCACCCGATTTTTGGTCATCTTCACTGCTTCTGTCTTCTTTGTGAAACGGAACACTAGCAAGACTACACAGGCTTTGCACTGCTTTGCAGTGATTAGATCACTACACAAGAGAAGAACAACGGATTGTGTCCAGTACACTCGCGCATGCATGGCAGGCTCGAGAGGACAAGGTCAGTGAAACTCAGTCATCACAGGGCGCAACACGTTGCGATGACTGTGCCTTGGATTCCTTGTGTTTCGCAGCCGCCGGCGTTTGATCCGCCGATTGGCTTGGCTGTGCCAAATTCGCACCATCAAGTGAATCAAGTGCCGTTTTTGTTTCTGGATGCAGTTTTGCATACAGGCTCTTGTGAATTCCATCAATCTTGGTACTGTCCAGAAGACAACGGTTGCTTAGCAGTATTCTCGGCGGCTCTTTCGGACAACGAGAAGGGTTGAACTCTGAATTGGTGCGAAAAGCCCAATAGACAAACCACCAGTAAAGAAGAATGCCAGACAGACCCAAGCTCCCGAGGGCAGTTCCGTAGGTACCAAGCATCCATATAAGTGCAGCAAGCCAAAAGAATGTAAAGGCATTGCAAAGCAACATGAGAGGGTAGCCGACAGTTCCAGGATGTGTGAGGAAGAATGCCAACGATTGTCTCGGTGACAGACATTCAACGTATGTAAAGTTCAACAGACAGAGCGAACAGCCATAGGCAGTGCACATCATGGTGAAACACATGGAAGCTAGATATGCCTGTTGTAAATGAATCACAACTCGTTGACCCGAGCCGTCGTCGTCTGTGCCTTCTGAGCTCTCGTAGTAGAAAGGCTTGACCTCACCGCCCTCCTGAATCATAGCGATGGTTGCCGGGAAAATCAATGCCGAGACGGTCGAGATCTGCGTCCAAACGTTGCGCACACCTTCCTTCAAATCTTTCATGTCGGAATCATCCTCCCCAGCATGCTGCATTATGTCCTCGGACGTTTGGGACAGCATCAACAAAGCACTTCGGTATCGATGCAATCAAAATAGAACCTATGGAGAAAAATCTGACATCAGGAAGCGAGCAGCATACCCCAGCTTCATGTCCATGCCCATCAGCAGCGGAATCCGCATGACTAGGAGTCCCTGCAGAAGCATGGATGTCCTATACACATGGCACCCCCAGCATAAGAGACAACTCAACCCAAAACACGAAACCCTCAACCGAATCCCAACTGCAACGTGACATGATGAAATCAGTACTAAAGGTGACCAAGATCACGAACAAGGAGACCAGGGCAGTGGCGAGCCAGTGCAGTTCGTACTCTTCACCGTGGGGATCCAGCTCTTGGAAAGCCATGGATGCACTCGGATGCAGAGGGGCAACAAACTGAATGACTTTTGCAGTAAGCCTTGAGCCTTCTTGCGAAGAGTCACGGGAAGTACTGCAACTTCCAATTGCTCCATTTAACAAGAAAACGCAATGAGATAAAGAGACTATGGCCAGGTATATGCCTCCGAAAATGAGCCGAGCTCTGATCAGGGGGGTGGCTTCTCATGAGCACCTGCTAACCGGCTCAGCAATAGTCACCACTCGGATTCGGTGGGACGGTCCTTGTTCGGTTGGACTCGTCCATGTCGAAACCGGCGTAATCTCTTCTGGAACGACAACACCACCTCTTTCTTCAATGATTATCACAGTTCTGGATACGTACGTGCGGATGGATGAAGTAATCGGTTATTCCTATACTGGTCTTGGTAATGGGGAAGTTGTAGTGATATAGTTGGTGAGGTGTAGGGGGGAGTATAGGAATAATCGTCTAATGGGTTGACTGGTGGTATTATTACCCAAAATGGGCAAGGGTTCTGCTAACTGTTTTGAGGCTTTCGGCGAGCTGACAAAAGGTCGATGCTGGCAAACCCGGGGCTCGGGGCCTGGCCTGGGGTTCTGCGAGGGCCTCGAGAGGCTCCACAGGCTCCTGCATACGATAACGATGATTCGGCATTGAAACTTAGACACTCCCGCGTGTTGGCTTTCCAAAAAGGATCCGGAGGAAGAGCCGGACTGCTAAGTTTACAGCTTCGCTGCTTCGGGACTTGGCCTAGTGTTTCGGGGGTTTCGGGCTTCAGGGCCCACACTGGACGCAAGAATCGGCGCAGGGAGACCGTACAGTACCAGCACTCAAGACTCAACATCCTCTCAAGCAAATCGAAGCGGCAGAACGCGATGTGGAGGCTGCAGTGAAATCCTTCTGCCCGGCTTCCCAGTTGCAGTCGCCGGCCTCGAAAGCTGCTGCAGGACCTAGGTGATTAGGTTGCTCCTTCTTTTAAGTGTTTGGATTTCCGGCGGCCTAAGTTAAGGATGCACGGCGAAAGCGCTCGCATCCGGAAGAAGAGGTCGCATTAAAGAATCGGCCGGGCCGCAGAGAATCCTAAATCCAATTTAACAATATCCGTTCTCATTCCAACATGGATGAGCCTAGGGTCCTTGAGTTATAACTTGGCAGGCCTTAATGGACATGCTGAGACGGCTTCTATGGCTTGCTTTACATTTATGCATACATGCATCCCTCCATCCCTCCGCCATGCAATCTGCATGCATAATACCAACGTACAAACAGACCGAGCCCTGACACTCTAACGTAGCCTTCTGTACCAACACGGAAGCCTCGCAAAGGCTTGTCGAGCGGCAGTGGACGTGCCAGCATGCTTTCCAAGTCCTGGTTTGGGGCACCAGAGAGCAAGGAGGTAGGATCGAGGTAAAGCATTTAGGATCATTTGGGTTTAAGACGCAACGCGTTGTGGGTGGGAGGCTCCAACTTGCTCTCAGTCCTCTAAGATCTATGCCGCGGACATCCGCGCGATGCAGCACAGTCGCAGGGCCTGGACATGCAGTTGACAGCTCTTGCCTAGAAGACGCAACGGAACGGCCGGCCTCTCCGACTCCTCCACCCCAAACAATTCATACAGGTGTTGACTCAAAGACGGAAGCACGAAACCTGCGCACATCCGAAAGAGGGACGACAGTCAACCACCAAAACAAACTCTCGAACCGTCTTCAAAGTTGCCTGGGGCTCGGACACAAAGCATCAAGATCGAGTTTCAGCCTGGTGGAGTTTGGGAAGTGTGTCCCACTTTTGTTGGACCGGTGCCGTGCACTTTGCTTGGGACCTACGGTGCAGGATGAAGAAATGAAACCCAACCTGACAGCTCGTAACTAGCTGCCTTGCTTGATGGTAGCACTTCTGACGTGCCCGAAACCCCTGGCAAAGAGTCAATGTCAACGTGGCCCGAATCAAACGAGCAACTGCCCGTCTAAGGGCCTTCCCGGCCTGAAGGCGCTACAGTTTTGGGCCCCGTAACACACAGAAGCTGCACCACCAAACTCCAAACATGCAAAGAAAGGATGTTACCGCTACGAAAAACGGGCGGCACGAAACGAACTGTCCCCATTAGACAGCTTCGCACGGGTACCACTCCAAGCTTGCACACTAACTTGGCACCTGCATGCGAAAAGCATCCACCAGCCTCCATGTTCATCATGGCCACATGGCAAACTACTCGCAACAGTAACCATGCGACGAAGGCAATTTCACGTCTGCTGCTGCAGTGCTGCAGGTTGAGCGACCTCCGACTTGCGGCATGACTGCTGCAACATTCCGGGCCAACTTGATTCCGGGCATGAGTTGCAATGCCTGGACATGAACCGAAATTCTGGGTCGGAGTCTTGGAGATGGCAACTTTCAAAAGTCAGCTCAAGCATGCTGCGTGGGTGCGAAGAGGAGCTGTGATGGAACACGGGGCACATTGTGGGTTGAGGGTTGAAGACTATGGCGTCTGCTCACCACCCTGCATACAGTCTGCAACACAGCTTCATGCACATCGAACTGAATCCACGTCAAACGAATGAAAGCATCGGTAGTCAACTCGAGCCTGCCACAACCGTAGTTCATGGTCCATGATACATAGTTTCCAACGAACTCGTATCAAAAAAAACCTTTCTAAACGGCAACATCCGCTCCGAAAAACATGATGTTTAGGCCTGGAAAACATTGCAATCGGGACAAACGCTGCAATCAGGACATTGACAGGCCTTTTAGTCTAAGTAAATCTTCCCAACTCTAGTTTCTGCGACCATGCGACTGACAAGTCTTCCCCTAACACGGTGGCCGAGTGGGGCAAATCCAAGAGAGAACTCGAGCTCGTGCCGGGCGATCTGAACTTCCTACCGAAGCTTTTGATCCATCTAAGAACGCCTGGGCTACCAATGAGTGGCAACAGCCATGCAGCTCACGCCACAAGTTTTTTCCAACCATGTGCTTCTGGAGTGGGCTGTGCCGGTTCACGAAAGGTCACGACCTGGCTCGCAATCGATCACAACATACTGGAATCCGAAAACCCACGCTTCCAAGCACAGCCCTACGTTACTGAGGGTTCCCACACTGCAAGTTCCGGAACTTAGAGTCCAGGGTACAACTGAAAGCTCCACGCATCGACGCATCCTAACACCCCGAAGTCGAAAACCCTGCACCCCAAATCCTCAAAGCCACTAAACCCTGAACACTCAACCTTGCAAAATCCACCGCAGTAAACCCAAACCTTCCCTAAACCCTATCTGAAACCCGAAATGCCGGAAAAACAGACTTGAGCGAACCGCAGACTGAAGTTTTCGGATGAGAGCTTTGGGGGTCAGGGACTCAGGGATATAAAACGTAGTCTAGGTCTTGGTTTACGGTTTAAGGATGGGCTGTAATGAGTTGACGAATTTTAAGGGGTTTAAGGGACGAGGGGCTGCCCTTGGGGTTTGGGGTTGACATGTTTCAAGCGTTGACGGCGTGGGGCTTGGGATATAAAGCGACCTTGAACCCTTCACCCTGAACCCTACGCCTACTCCCTAAAACTCCCTGGTCCAAGTGTTTGAAGATTTCAATTTTTGTGTAAATCCTCGGGCTTTCGGGTTTGGGCCGGGGGCGCAAAGGGCCTGGGCTTAAGGTTTAGGGTTCAGTGCTTGCAGGATTCACGGGTTTAGAGGTCTAGGGTTGAGGGACTAAGGGGTCCACACAAACCCTCAATGTATGGAAAAGCTACCTTAATCGGGCTTCGATGTTCGGATCCCTATTGTCGTCGTCATCGTAGCAGTAGCAGTACTCGTCGTAGCAGTAGTCGTAGTAGTGGTCGTCGGAGTAGTCGTAGTAGTAGTAGTAGTAGTAGTAGTAGTAGTAGTAGTAGTAGTAGTAGTAGTAGTAGTCGGAGTAGTCGGAGTAGTAGGAGTAGTAGTAGTAGTAGTAGTAGTAGTAGCAGTAGTAGTAGTAGTAGTAGTGGTAGTAGTAGTAGTAGTAGTAGTGGTAGTAGTAGTAGTAGTAGTAATGGTAGTAGTAATGGTGCTGGTGCTGGTGCTGGTGCTAGCGCTGGTGCTGGTGCTCGTGCTAGCGCAAGCGCTAGTTGTGCCAGTGCCACTACGAGTAGCAGTAATCAGTAGTAGCAGCAGGAGACGAAGCCGTGCTATTTTAGAAAATCCTAAAGGGCTCCAGTCTGAATATACTATGCGACTCTAGGTATTCTCTCGTGGAATTCAAAATTTTGCGAAGGGTAGAACTGCTCGATCTGACTACAAGACAACCCAACCACAATCATCCACAATCTCTGTCCAAAAGCAATTTCAAGCACACGAGGAATGGTTCCAGGCTCGGGAATGTGCGGAGCTTTTGTTCGATTAGAAACCCACTTGTGCAAGATCGGATCCGCTAGCGTACCGGGCATGTGAACTTGTCATCCCTAGCTCACAAGGCATTCACCGGCTACCGTGGGATTGAAAATGGCCTGCGCAACTGGGGGCGGGCGGCTAACCTTCCCAAGGATGGCTTTGGACGTTGACTTAACTTAAGGGCCTTCAAAGGGCTTTTGGTGTTTTGATGCGTTTTTTCGTCGTATGCATAGCGTTTCAGGCTTCAACAAGGGGCTTGAGGATTTGCAGCTGCAGCTGCTGAAGTAAAGGACGTCTAGGGCCAAGGGCTTCGAGACTCTGGGGAGTTTCCATCGATTGGCATCATGAAGCACGATATCTTGGAAGGTATATCAGCGCGTGTCGGCAAAAAAACCTTCATTGAGGCTGCGCGAGGCTTGGACTTTTGGGTAGCAAGCAGTGCGAATTCTGGAGGCACGAACTGAGAACTTTCTGCAAGAGGACTTTAACGCAGGAAAGGCGCTGCAGAATCTTGAGAAAATTCGAGTCTGAACTGGTGTAGTGTCAGTGTTTGTCTATAGCTTTCCTGACGTGTTTGTTTGTGTTTCAGTTTCCCGTGAAGCTGCGCCGACCCGAAAGTCGGCGTCTGCGCTCACCCTCAACCAAGTACATCCTGA